AATTCAAATTGTCAAACATGTGACATCAATATGACAAAAACACACGTTATATCAGGGGTATAGGATCAAATCTGGCTACGTCCATCGTGCATGATTTGACAGGAAGTAAAAAAACACTCTCACTTTTGATGGCAGCAACTAAAATTTGAGAATTACTGTTAAAACAATGAAAGAAAAGTCACTCTTTATATTGGTATTACATTCAGCATACTACAAGAGCAGGAAATACGCTGAATTGATAGAAACTATTGGACGTAACCTGTTTTGATCCCAAGCGATGCACATAGCCATGTTTGATACCAACTTCACAGGACTTGACCAAGTTTGATTCCAACGTAATCTCACCGGCCGGACTCAGTACAATGTGTCAAAATACTGCGTATCATGAACATTATTTTTATGAGGTTTCCTCGCGCCTTGTATCATGTATCACTAGCATCACGTGTCACTCTTCAGCTGGTCAACTATTTATGTACAAAAATTAGGTTTTTTTTATTTATTTTTTTAGGTACGTATATTTCTTACAGGCTAACATTATAAAGCAACACAATTATAGTTAAAAGATAAAACTAAAAAAAAATCTCTATCATATTTGTTTCAGTACAAATCATCACTTTAACAATATTATATCAACAAAAGCGGTGTTTCTTCTCTTGGTTCACATTCCAATTCTTCATTGTCATTTTCGTTCTCAGCCAGAGTTTCAGCAATGTTTATCACATCTGAATAGAAACTTAATTGTTCCAGGCCTTGCCAGTCGTCTCCAAAATGTTTTGATAGCAGATTTTTAACGTCCCTTACTTTTAATGCCTTTACAGGTACCTATGTGTTGTATTATTTTTTTAGGAGCAATCATACTCATAATTTTAGATTTCCGACAAACATTTTCATATTTTCCCATTTTACGAAATCCCTTTTCACTGTTTCCGAACACTCTATCTGCTGGAAGATAGGAATGGCCAGTTACTGGAAATACCAGTTCTACTGTTTTAATAGAAGAATGTTCCAACAACCATTTGCAACACATTGTGATTATGGTGGAATTTTTATTCTGACCTCCGCAGCCGTCTGAGATCAGTCTAATGGTAGTTTTATTGGTAAGATCCATCTTGTTTAGGTGGTTATACACTGCAGATGCTATTGTATTAGAATTTTTGAGAAAGTGTTCTCTGTCCAGACATTTGCGAAAACGTTGTTTTTATTAAGTGGTGTCTTTGAAGTTCCTTCCACAATAGTGAAATTAAAAAGATATAATTGCCTGCTATAATAACACGATTGATCTGGTACTTTAGGAACATTCATGTTTTTTTGGCAATCATAAGAAATTATTTTCAAACCCTCTTCTTCTGTCTTGAGCAGCGAATAGAAAGCTTTTTCCCTCAAGCTATGAACTCTTTTTTCTACTCTGAATTGCTTTTAGCCCCATGGTAGCATAAGTCGCAAACTAAAAGAGCTCATCTAAACATCCAACGATATTAGTCATATATTATTCTAGTGGTGGGGTTCTCAAATACCAAGAATCGACGAGTATTCGATTCCTGAAAGTTCTCAAGATATCTCGAACACTTAAATCAAACAAAGTATTAGAATACTGACTGAGGAAGCCGTCGCTATAAGTTAGTTTTATAAGTTAGTTTTATAAACAAATCTTTTTGGAGGGCAAAGAATATAATAAACTAACGTAATGAATATTTTTTGGGATACAAAAAAAAACGCAATACAACTGCACAACTGATACCAATTTTTTTAATAGGATTCCTCATTCAACAAAGAAAATGTGCTTATTCTCAAGATTATCAAATTCAGAAAATATCACATTTCTGTAAACACATTTCAGTGAGTGTGAGAGCCAATAACGAATGTAAACATTAAACAAATCAGGAATTATTGATGAATTTAAAACAGTATTTATTTTTTAATCAACTTTAAAAGCGAATAAGGTCCTTGGTTCTCGGTACTTCAGGAACAAATCAGGAATAATTGATGAATATAAAACAGTATTTATTTTTAATCAGCATTAAAAGCGAATAGAGTTCTCGGTATTACTCGAAAAATTCTTTATTCTAAAGCCACGTATCCATTTCACGAGGCTGCCGCGCGCGGCCTAGCTCACGTTCAATAATTATAACAGTTTTGCAAACGCTTTATGGCTTTGCCTCGCGTAACAGTGTGGTGTCCACTTTCGGCGGTAATGACAACGAACATGACGCGCGTGGTAGCCTCGCGAAATGGATACGTGGCTTTAGAAATTATACCCATCACTAGATTATACAGTCAAACCCGCTTATTAGAAGAAGAATACTGGTTATTTAGGAATATCCTGGTTTAAGGAATAGAAATTTGAGGTCCCGAAACGATTCTACTAGCCACCAATGGTCGGTTGTTAGAAAATCCCGATTATAGGAATACTTTTGCTTGGCACGATGGCTATTTCAATATGGGGGTTCGACTATACCTAAATCTGACCTGCGGTACGGGCCTGGCAAAAGAACGAATTTACCTCTCTTTTTTCGCCTTGTTAGCCTTCCACTTTTGTGGCTGTGCAATCCGTTTTCGTGCCTGGTTTTGATTAACGGGCATAGGAAAAACATCCATCTTGACAAAAAACTATAGATTTTACTTGAAATCACAGGAATTCTTATTTAAAATGCGAAAAACTGACACCGTAACAACAATAAATTATATTAGTGGCCATTACAGATTTGGTTCGAATGAAGAGCTCCTATTGGCTGGCGTGCGCGTAGCTATGTTTGATACTGAGTTTATGTGGACGTAACCAAGTTTGTTTCCAACCAATTTTTTTTAATCAAAATTTCTCTGGACTAAGCTAAATTTAATCCCAAACTATTTCTTTAGGTAATAGGCTGTCTCAAAATGAAAATGTTGCCATCAAAATGTCAATTTCTAAAAATTATGGACATAGCCATTTTTGATACTATACCCCTGATATACTCTTGTATTACGTGTAGCCTAACTTTTAGGGGTGGTTTGAAAAATCTATTATATTTTTGCAAAATTTTGAAGTGCATTTGATTCGTAGAACGGTTTTAACATTTGTTTTTAATTCAGATTTTAGTCCTCTACAAATAGTTTTTTATGACTTTTGATCTAAAATAATTGGGGAAGCAGCAATTCAACAATTTAAAATTTCCCATTGAGTTTCCTATGGCCCGTTTGACGATTCACCACCCGGTATACTTTTACATATATAGCAAATAATATCCATGGATCGATTTTTTTGCACCTGAGTATATATATATATATATATATATATATATATATATATTATATATATATATATATATATATATATATATATATATATATATATATATATATAATATATATATATAGATGAACCAAGTGTTGGACGTTCAATGTTTAATGAGAGATAAGTGATCTTGCTGCATATTGTATTTAGTTTTCAGAATATTTAGAGTTTTGTCTATAGAAACGTTTGTAAAGAGTGAAACGATATCGAAACTTACTAGAATGTCTTCTACTTTTAGTAAGTCTAGACATTCTAGTAAGTTAATTCTACAGACAAATAAATGTATCTCTAGTAATTGCCAATATCTTTATGGAAGAGTTCGAGGCCCTACTACAATCTATATCAATGCTCAAAGCCACATGTTGGCTGCGATATGTTGACCAGGCATATAGTTTTACCAGTTTTATAAATTGTTTGATCCAGGCAGGGATGCTTTTGTGTCTTTTCAAACCTACCCAATCCCTACCGTTTCTCGACGTTATCATAAAGTAAAACCAATCCCAAGGTTTTCATTACTCTGTTTATCGAAAACCCATCCATACCAATTATTACTTACATGCCAACTCTCATCATCCACCTTCACAAATTAATTCAGTTATTAATACCTTTGTATCCAGATTAATATACCTTTGCAATGATGCACGTAGATCCGCTGAGCTCTCTAGTTTAAATCACATCAATAGGAGCATCCACAGATATCAATCTCCCACCCAAGGACTCAAATCCTCATCATACGAAAGCTTCTCCTTCTTACATTAAAGTTGTTACTCCCCAACAACTGTTAATCTTTACTCCCCAACAGAAACTTTCATCTCTTGTCCGATTAATCAAAGACAACATTCCAAACGAACAATACGGAGTTTATGAAATTCCTTGTGCAGACTGCCCCCTATCTTACATAGGCCAAACAAATCGTAGAATCCAAAATAGGATTTATGAACATTCCATTTCTGTTCGGAATTCCGGTTAAATTTCAGCTCTAGATCAACACCATTTTCATACAGCTCACAAAATTGATTTTGAAAATTCCAGAACCATAGCCCCCATCATCTTTTATAAACCAAAAATTGTCCGAAAAGTCATAGAAATTGAAAAAATACCAAATTGTCTCAAAAAAAAGAGATGACGGGAAAAAATTATAGCATGTGATATTCTCAAGTTAAGGTTGATTTCATGTAATCGAATGAACTATCTTACAATAAAATCGTGCAGGAACGCAACTCGGCAATACTGGCAATATGATTTTAAAGTTGTATACTTTAAAATGTATAATATATGTCTGAACTGTCAATATAAATGAGTCAGATATAATTCAATTATTAGAATAACTTTTCACCATGTACCAAAAAAACAAAATGTGTTTAATTTATTAATTTTTGTATTTTGAGAACGATTTCCGAAGTGGAAATTGAAACGTCAATAAACTTAAACTTTAATTGTGGCTTATTCCCATTAAAACAGCAATTACTATAAGATGCCACAAGAAAATAGCTTTAGAACAATATTAATATTAAACTTACCAGGCTTCCGGGTTGAACCGCGTCGATTTTCACTACGTCGAGCTTTCGACATCCTCTCTGATGTCTTCTTCAGGGCTTTCGGTGTCAGTCTTCTGAGTCACTAGATAGGGGACCTTGAAAGCCACGTGATAATAGTTCATCGAAAAGTAATGGCTCAATGTACCTAACTATAACGTAAAAGTGAATATAACTCATTTTCTTTTTTATAGATCGCCAGTACTTCTGTTGGACCAAACTATTCTGATTCGGATATGCAACGTGACGGGACTGAAGGTTCAGGATCAGGGGCTGGCCCCGATATCGATGATGATGACTTGATGAGAGGATCTGGATCTGGCGACGGACCCACAGACCACGACGGTGAGTTTTGGCTCTTTCTTATTAATTAACGAACAAATGAAATAGCAATTGAACTAAATTGAATTGAATTGAACTAAAATAAAACTAAGTATCTTTTAAAGTCTGGGGTGAGTTTGTGGTTAGATTAATGCAAACTATCACATATAGCAGTGCTTCTTCAAAAGTAAACTCACTATATGCATTGTATAATAATGGAGACATAATACATCCTTGTCGCACTCCTCTCCTGATTTTAATGTGAACTTGTTCGTTAAGGTTTGTTTATTGCATTTAGAATTTCGACTTAGTTTTCGCCTCTTACTTTGAGAATGACTTTTCTAATTCGATGTAACCAACAAGCACATCCCCATTCTTATTCATACAAATTTGAGCTGTCGCGTTAAAAGCAAACAACGCCTTCCTGGTTCTTGGTCCGTTTCTGACTATTGTCTACTTCTTCTTCCAGTTTGTTTTTTATGCGACCATGTATTATTTTCAAAAATAATGTGAAAATATGACTTATTAATGACATTTTTCTACTCTAGGTATAGCTGGTAGTCTATAGCGTTTGTATATTCAGTGAGAGTTTCAGTTGTTTTATTCTCTCCTATATATTGTGTTATAAAAATCTACTACTGACCCTACATCTTTGCCATTTTTGCTGTTTTTTAATGTTATTTGTATTTTTTCTTTTAACACGTTGCATACTAATCACGCCTATGAGTGTCAAGATATCGCTTCAGTCATATGCTGATGACGCACATGTGAGTTTTCAAGATACCTATGTTTTGTATTGTCTAGCATAAATACCCTTGTGTATAAAAGTTTACTTTTTGGAAAAGTTTGTAGAGAACACTATCTGTTACCCTATTTATTAAACAGTTCTCAAAAACATTTTCTACCTTTCCTTCTACTACCAATAGTTCCATAGTAGGGTACAATAGAAGATAAAATCTATAAAATTAAACCACTTTTAAATTACTTCAATGGTATAATGGCTGAAATATATCAACCAGGAGAAAATCTATCCCTTGATGAAAGTATGGTGTTGTGGCGTGGTAGATTATCTTTTCGAATATATAATATATGAAAAGTAATATATGAAAAGCAAACGCCATAAATACGGACTTAAATTGTATGTGTTGGCAGAACCCAACGGCTTAGCGCTTCGTATGAAATTATATACAGTACGTTATGACTCTGCAGGTGGAAAAGGCCACTCTGAAAAAGTAGTTTTAGAACTAATGCGAGATAAACTTAACGTTGGGTATTCTCTTTTTATAGATAATTTTTATGGAAGTGTTGATTTAGCAAAAACGCTTTTACAAAACAATACTTTCTGCACATGAACTTTATTTCCAAGAGAAAAGGTAACCCTAAACAAGTTTAAGAAGCTAAACTAGCACAAGGACAGACAGTAGGGCAATACAAAGATGGCATTTTAGTAGGAAAGTGTAGAGATAAAAGAGAAGTTATGTGCATATCCACGGAATTTAAAAATGATCTTATCGAAACTGAAAACAAAAGAAACCAAATAAAAATAAAACCGATACCCATATCCAAATATAATGAGTTTATGAGTGGTGTTGTTCGCAAAGATCAAATGCTCGCTTACTATCCATGTGAGCGAAAGACGCTCAGATGGTATAAAAAAAATAGGTATTCACATATTTCAAGTTTTGTTGTTAAATTCCTATTATTTGTACAAAAGTTATACTCCGTACACTGGTAGAAAAATGAATTTATATGAATATCGTTTAGAAATTATCAGACATCTTTTAAAAAATTCTGAAACAGTATTGATTACTCCAGTGTACAAACAACAACAAACAACAGACAAGCACAACATTTCAAAAATTTTAAATGTTGATACTAAAGGTCGGATAAAGAGAAAAATATGTAAGGTATGTTCAAAGAATAATTTAAGAAAAGACACTTAAGGACCCAAACACTAGGAGAAGATTGGATTCGGAGACAAACCACCTAGGAACTCCTTTTACTCTAAAAGAACTTCACGACGGTCTGAACAGGTTAAAAAACGGGAAAGCTGCAGGTGTGGATGATATATGCAGTGAACAAATAAAGCATTTAGACCAAGGAGCAAAAAACTGGATCTTGCAATTTTATAACACGTGCTGCAAAACCTGCAAAATTCCAAAATCATGGAGGAAATCTAAAGTAATAGCCTTGTTAAAACCAGGAAAGGATCCAGAAGACCCCAGTAGCTACAGACCTATTTCGCTATTGTGTCACTTTTTTAAACTATACGAGAGACTCATACTCGCCAGAATAGAAAAAAATGTCGACAAGCACCTCATCCCACAACAAGGAGGATTCAGACCTGGCAAATCTTGCACCGGTCAAGTCCTCGCATTAACAGAACACATTGAAGAGGGTTTTGAAGAAAAACTTATAACAGGGGCTGCTTTTGCTGCTCCGCAAATTATACGACACTCTCAATGACCACCATCTGGGAAAGGTCGTATATTCCTTACTGCAAAATAGACGTTTTTTTCGTTATGCTGGAGGGTAAAGTAAGTAGGTGGAGAGTTCAAAAAAACGGCCTCCCACAGGGAAGTGTTTTAGCACCAATGCTCTTCAATATATACACAAACGATCAACCTACTCCGACCGAAACCAAGCACTTCCTCTATGCTGACGATCTTGCAATATGTGCTCAAGGAAATAGTTTTAAAGAAGTGGAGGAGAAACTCGAAACTGTCTTAAAAACAATGACAGCGTACTACCTGCAGAATTCTCTGAGACCCAATCCCTCTAAAACCCAAGTCTGCGCTTTCCACCTTCGCACAAAGGAAGCCAAGCGAAAACTTCAAATTGTGTTAAATGGTAATACATTAGAACACACAAACCAACCTATATATCTTGGAGTAACTCTGGACCGGTCCCTCACCTACAGACAGCATTGCATAAAAACAAGAGGGAAAGTAACAACTAGGAACAGCATACTCAGAAAGCTAACGGGAAGTAAATGGGGTGCACGTCCTGGCGTTTTAAGAACAACGGCACAGGCACTGTGTTTCTCAACTGCTGAATATGCATGCCCCGTTTGGAGCAGATCTGTCCACACCAAACAAGTTGATACTGCGCTAAATGAGACATGCAGGATAGTAACAGGGTGCATGAAACCAACGCCACTTTCAAATCTATATAGAGCAGCGGGTTTTGCAGAACCCTCAACACGCAGAAGAACTGCAGAACACATAGAGAAAATTAAACAGATCGCGGACGATCGGCATGCCCTGTACAAAACTCGAACACCACGAAAGCGACTAAAATCTAGGAAAAGCTTCCTTGGAACAGTGAAGGATGAACCGCCTGAGTATTTTCCACTTCCCCAGGTTCAATGGGCCGGCCAGACCCCAGACTTTAAAACGTGGAAAACCTTAAATAGGATAAGAACGGGGGTTGCTACAGTAAAATCAAACATGGCAAAATGGGGAAAAATAAACCAAGATGATGTGAACTGTGACTGTGGAGAAACACAGAATATGGAACATCTTCTTACATGCAGAAACTGTCCTCATCGATGTACCCTTGAAGATTTGTGGCTCGCCAACAAAGATGGAACCGACGTAGCCCGATACTGGGCCGAAATTTTATGAATGACATGTCCGGACACGATAAAGTAAGTAAGAAAAGACACGATATTTGAGTGCAGCTTCTGTCCTGAAAAACCTGGCCTTTGTGTTGGAAATTGTTTTGTACAGTATCATAATGATAATAATTTGTAATTATTAATATTATTATTGTAATATGTTTTCTATTAAAATTTCCAGTAAATGTTTCTTTTGACAATACTGACTTTCTGCAATTTAAAAATCAAAGACGCACATGTGAGTCACTTAGCATATGGATGAAACATTGATGATCTAGTGCTGGCGACGCCTATGAGCGTCAGGCGTTAAAAAAGACAAAATTTAGCAAAACCTTTATAAATGTATTCTGCCAACAAGAAAGCAATTGCAGTTATAACGATTTATAAAAAAAATACTCTCAGCACCTAGCAGTAGCATATCGTTAGGCTTTAAGCATGCGACGTGTTAATACCTTTATTTCCACTTGTTCTATTTTTATAACTTTAAAAATTTTGTGTTTTTTGTGATGTCAGTGTTCTTCCAAATTTTTGTGAGTTTGGCTGTTGCCGATCTGGCCATTGTGATGTATCAACGGATCTCGTCTTTGCATCCTCCACTGTTAGTAATAACGGAGCCTGAGTAATTAAATTGCCTGACCACTTCGTAACATGCCATGTTTCTTATCTCTTTATTTGTTTTACAAACAAACAAACAAATTTGTTCCACAAACCTAAAAATGTAACACTGATTTATGATACTAGCTAGGTCTAGCTCATGGTACAATAAAATTCACATGATATGGCACATAATGTTCCAAAATCGGTTCGCTTCGCGCACGACGTAGTCAAGATCCCCTCTTCGCGCAAATTTGAATGCAGTTGTATAGGAAAGACTTTTAATTTTAAATTTTTAATATAATTTGGCTAATTTATTTATAGTACTTATAAGGAAATGATAAAGTTGTGTTTTTATAATATTTAATCATAAAAAATAAGTTGTATCTAATTTAATTTTATTGATTTTTGGGTACAGATATTTTAGCGAGGTTCTGAAACTGTTATTTTATTTTGTTAACATAGGTATTCTTTATAAAACACGTTTTAATTATGTTTATTATACATACAGGTTGAACAACTGCTACTCTAGAGTTCCATATTTCAGTTGTTTAAAAAGATACAAAAAAAAATATATAAAGTTTATATAAAGAGTTTTGGGTCTTCGCTAATCTACAAAATGGAATACATATCACCACAATTTCATTCTCTCTTAGTGGCCTAGCCACCGCAGCATGTTCATTTTTATAGACCTACCAATATTAGGCTCAAAATTGTAGCGTCTATGTCATAATCCGTTTCCCTGCACGCCTTTATAAATGTCCCATTTATACATTCAAAACAACCCAAACGTTCTTCATCACTTTTTGTCATCATCCACGTTTCTGACCAACTTGATTAGAGTTCTATATACATATCAATATTTTCGTTCTTTTTGTGACTGTTTGACGTTAAGTTTCTTTAATCCATAGTACGTTCTATTTGCTAGATATATATGTCTGTTAATTTCTGCAGTTACTGTATTACTTTGGTTGATTTGAGCCTAGATATGTGAAATCTTTTACTCCTTCAAAAGTATATGTTGCAGCTGTTAGATCTTTGGGTTTTCCTAATGACAGTAGTGGGTCCAACGGACACAAGAAGTAGTTAACAGATCCAACAGAAGTTCGTGTTAGTACTAAGCACATCCTAGTTTGGTCCAAATGTCACGCTGCTAAACACCCACCGATGATAATTGAACCTTCATTGGATGTCTGGTGGACTTACTTGTATTAAAGTATTTTGGGAAATAAAAAATAAATTTTTAAAGGAACTTTATTACATATTACATTAATTTATTATTTTAATTATAATTAAATACTATCGGCTCATGAGTACACAAGGATCACCTGAAATTTTTTACAATTAGTTAATTTGATAATAACACGCCAATTCGCAAAACTGCCCAATAATTTCTGTAACCCAATACAATCAGAATGGTCTAGAATAATACGAAATAATTTTATGTCATGTGCATATGCTAAGACTTTAGTCACTCAATGATGTGATAGCAGCATCAACAAAAACTTCAAAGAGAAGAGGTAGGTACCAAGTTGGCATTTTGGACCACTCCAGAGGAAAGTATTCAGTTAATCATTCAAGTAAAATCCTTTTAAAATTATCCTTTCTACAACAGGATATTATCCACAGTTTCCTGACCACACTATCTTTAGGAAACGTATGAAACCTTAAGGTTTTATCTTTATTGTCACTATTACAAGTAGCAACTGCACAGCGCATTTTGAAATAGTTACAAAATTTCACAAAAACAAACAGATACACGAAAGCAAATAAACGAGTAAATGTTCTTAAATCAGTCTATACAGACTATAACACATATATACTATCCAAAAAAAGAATAATATCGCTAAAAACAGATGAACAATACGAGTTTTGCAAAAAAATCCACTACACAATATAGTAATACAATTACAAATAATGGCTCACAGGGACCTTTGCTACGTCACACCCGCTTGACCTCAGCTGTCAAAAGTGTCAAATGTCATGCGCAAGATTCTACCATGAGAGTTTATTGTACCATGGGTCTAGCTAGTATGTAGCCTAATAACTTTGTTTATTGCTAATGTGATAGAAGTTATAACAATAAATTATTTGTCTTTATATGAAAGCAATTTATAACTAATATTTAATTATTCCAGATTCTGTAGAGCCACGTGTGAATACCAACAATAACCAACCAACCCAAGGATCCAAAACACCAACTAGTCACGACCAAACCCCAACGGTCCACCTTGTAGGATACAGCAATAGAATCACTCCTACACCTACAGTGATCTTAGTAATTGTTGCTGTCATTTCATGGAAATGCAGACTTTTTATGTAAAAAATGAATATTTAAAAAAAGAAATTATAAATAGACTCTAAAAGTGTGTGAAAGAGAGGGATGTAATTGAAATGGGTATAGTCGAAGAAAAGAAGAGATTAGAAAAGGTCTATTTGGTGTTGTTGAAGATTTAAAAAGGAATATTTATGACGGTTTTTTTTTTAGAAAATGGTGCCATTTTAATTTTTGGGAAAGAGACTAATATTAGTATACGGTTTTTGGCTGTCGGAGATTTTGAAAAATTTCGAAAAGGAATTAGGTCCAGAGTAACATTAAATTGTATATTATGTGCTTGAAATTACGTTTATTTTGAAAAGGTGACATTTATCTCGAATATAAGTACTTATCTTAAATTTAATTCAAACAAAAAAAAGAGAAAATTATTAAACATGCTTTGAAATATTTTATCTTAAAATTATTATTTGGTTACATACCTACTGATCAGGCAATAACGATGTAAAATATAAATCTCGTGATATCGTAAGTCTTTAATTTGTCACTTTTTGATGTCCTTCAATTGTCACTTGTCATTAATGTAAAAAACGGGACTAACAAGAATAAAACCATTTCCTTTATTCATTGACTTGATTATTTTAAGTGGATTTGTTATCAACCTTGATCTATTAATAATTATGTGGTTATGTCATTACCCGCCATTCCCGTTTTGCATTTCGTTCGTATATATTGGGGTGATTCTTTCCCGATTTCTTCTTTAGTTTTACCTTTTTTGTCTTCTCTGATTTGGTCTCGATCTGGTCTCATAACTCTCCTCTATATCTTACGCCTGAGTTTTACACTACATCTCATTTCGTTTTGATCTTTTTGAATTTTCTCAATTTGTAAACTTTGGTTTTCTCGTTTGATGTCTGTTTAATAATAAATTAGTAGATCCAGATTTCATAATCTTGGTAGGTCTTAGTAGACAGATCACTAGAGAATCTATTTTATATATTTCAATGCTTTTCTTCAATTCTTGCTTTGTGTTAAGACCATCTAGTTGTTTTATCTTAAATAGGGGAAAGGGGGGAATAGTGGCTGCCTAAGCATTTTGGTTTATTAATACTGCTACATAGCTTTAAAAATTATACTGTTAACGTAAATAAAACTTCAAACCTTAGTACTTCATACTCTATTTTCGGAACATTTTTAAACAGAACAAAAAAAATTAAAACGGTTTTTCAGACTTCTGCTGGTGGCCATATTTACCCGCTGCCGAGGGTTGAAAGTGCCATTACCACTATTACCCCCATTTAAAAAATAATTAAATGCAGAAATCGCAAATGTAAATTTTGCCTTCGAAACAGGTACAGTCTTTGTGTGCCCATTAGCTGGAAATGCTGCATTGGATCCAGAGTTCCCTGTTTTTACCGAATTCACAACAAATTGTGCAAATCTCTTCGTTATCGTCTCTATCACAATCATGGTCATCATCCTCATCTTCAGATGATATACCTTATGTGATCTTCTGTGTTCTTATTCAATTTCTTTTTGGAACTATTCGCGTAGGACTAGACTCTTTGATGCCTATTTTTCGTATGATTCCTTTGCTGGCTTTATTTCTCATTTGCTCTTCCTTCTTCCGCTGTTTTTCTTCTAGAAGTAACTTCATTATTTCGGAATGTTGCTTCCTGCTGCTTTTGTGGTTGGGTCTTTTATATCCAACTGAGTCATCTTTTGAGCATCCTGGTAGTGGAATTATGTCAACAAAAGATACTTCAAACTTTTTGTCATGTGTAGAACTTTCTTTATTCCTCTTAACTTCCTTATGATTCTTCTCCTTATCTAATCCAATTTTTTTTCTCTTGGTGTAGTGTCTTTTTATCTTTTTCTTGTATGAATAATTAACCTGGAGCAAAATCTTCATCGGTAAATTTTTCAGGATTATATGGAAATATTCCTGTATTCTCAAAACCTTTAATGGCTTTGACTGGTGTGGCTACGCGACCGTATAAACTTTTAAATATTTCAGCTATTTCAAATGTCGTGATATGCTCATGAGGATGACTTCGAAGATAATTGCCGCATTCAATGTTATACGCTGACTTTAACGATGAGGAAAAAGCTACATCCAGCGGTTGGAGTCGATGCGATGTGTGCGGGGGCATGGTTAACATAATAATTCCTCGTTCTTTACAGAAACTATGTCTCTAATGTACAGTGGCTACTGTGATTATCGACGATTAACAAAACTGGATCCTCCTTTGAAAGTTTTCATCTCTCTCGTTTCATCCTTTTGTGGGCATAAATAAACAAAGGTGGAATATATGTTCCTGAGACACTTATGCAACACATAATGGTTGTTGTTTGACCTCTTTCTGCGCTTGTAATAAAGCCGACTTTCTTTTGTCCCTTTTCAGCGAGTATTTTTCCGGGGTTTTGGACGGTTGCTATGCCTGTTTCGTTTGTATTATATATTTTGGATGCCGAAAATTTATATTTATCCAATATGGTTTACTTCAGTTTTGCTAAAAGCAGATATGCAGTTAATACTTGTCGCCCCCGGTTTTCTTAATCGAATAGTTGAATTTCTTTTATAAAAAGGTCGTCAAGCCAGTCTCCTCCAGCAATTTCTTTTTCTTTGGAAAATGGATGATGTAAATTTTCTTCTTCAGCTTATTTATAGGCACATCTTTTATTTCTGTGGGGTTTTTTTTAACCTATTCTCTATCCTTCCATTGTTGGATATAGGTCTCCCCCAGTTCTCTCCATCTTTCCCTATCTTGAGCTGTTCTCTGTCATGTGGGACCTCCTTGTTTCCTGTGGGGGTTATCCCATAAAAAAAATTTGATAACTTTATGACGTGCTTTGTCAAAACTTCTTTGGTAAATACAGAATTACGACCTAAAGAAGCAGCTGTTGTATCATTTCGCTTTAGTCGTAGTTGAATTGCAGATGTGGAAATTGCAAAACTTCTTGCAACTTCACGGACGCTTCTGCCATTATTTACTGCATTTATTGCTTCACCAAGTTGCTCAGCATTCCATCGTGTTTTGTCACTTTTTCTCTTATAAACTCGTGGCATCTGAAATATAAGAATTTATAAAGAAATACTCTGTATATACAAAAATTCCATCTTTGCCGGCAAAACATCGTCATTGTTTTAGGTACAGTTTGAACGAAACACTGTTAGATGGCGCAACAGGTATTAAACGCGACATAATATTAGGCGGTAAATGTAAATATTTCATGGCACCATTACCCCAGCGGCCGCCATTCCCCACCTTTACTCTACTCTTTGAAAACCCATGAAAAACCACATTTCCAATACGTCGGTTGAGTTTAATTTAACTTGAAGGTGAAGTATTAATTATTGATAATATAACTTAAATTTAAAATTCCAATCTTTTCAAACCTTATGCATATATTTTATATTCTGCCTCAACTTTGTGTTTGAAAAATTGTATTATTACACCACAAACCCAGTGTTGAACTACTTAATTATTAAATATTTACTATATTTTTTTTAGTTTCTATTCAATTGGTTTGTATTCTCTAGTGCTTGCTCATTGCTGACTGAATACTTTTCCAGTGCATTTTCTTATTCAAACATTGCTCAATCTCAACTCATGTTGATCATGAAAGAGATAATAAAAAGCTCCTGTATTATGAAAATTGTTTTCTAGTATAACATTTGCTCTATATCAGTATTATTAAATATATTTGGTGGTAAATGTCACTTTTAGTTTGCGTTGTATTTAGAGCTAACCGTGTAAGATGACCAATTAAACAATGTTACTATTGACTTACTGTAGTAATGGATTTATGGAGATAATAATATAACTGTAATGGTAAAAATAGCGATAATAATAAGATGGAGTATGTACAGATGTGCATGTAAATTAAGGTGGAGACTAAAAACTTTTTGAAATTTTCCAGAGCTGGGTTCAATACGTAAATATAATGAATTATTCTGTTTTTTTTTGCGATTTTTGTTTATTTTTCATCATTTTTATTTAGTTCATTATTGACAATTTAATATTGTATAAATGGGGGATTTAAAAAAGTTTTTTCAAGTCAAGCCACCCTAATACCAATAATTCTTGCTTAATTTTTTTGTAAACATTTTTCTAAATCATAGTTTTAGTAATGAACGTTGCCAATTACAATAAGTGTACATTTGAATTACTTAGATATTATCTTTTTATCATTTCCTGTTCGAAATATTTTTCACAGCTACTTATATTTAGGGTTAAAAACTGTTCAATACGCTTATCCATTATTCCGAATGTTTTGTTGTAGAAAACAGTAATATAGGGAATATGCCACCTGAATTAAACTAATAAGAATGCACGTTTAATTACATAATTAGTATAATTTAATACACCTAGCAAAGCGCTTATATTGCAGTAGAGCAATAACAATTTTTTTAAGGACAAATAAAATCATGAATGTGTTGCTTGTGTGAGTCCATATCAAATAGGTAAAGAAATACATAATAATAAGACTTACTCACAATCAATTTAATTTAACAATCAGACGACCGGTTTCGCTTTCTACAATTTGCAAAGCATCTTCAGGTCTAGATACAAAGTTAAACTAATGCTGCAATAAAATAAACCCAATTAGGGTGGTGTCTAATAAAGATAAAATAAACAAATAAGTTAGTTCATACAAATTATAGTAATTATGCCAATATTACATGTCTGTGGTTTTCAAAATGAATAAATTTGAATATATAAAAGGTATTAACAGACAAGGTAAGACCCACAATTGGTATAAAGTAGTAATATTATATTGTAATAAATTAATAAATGAGCAGATAAATAAAACAAAACAAACATTACTTACATGCCGGTACTCTATTAATTGATGGAGTACCGGCATGTAAGTAATGTTTGTTTTGTTTTATTTATCTGCTCATTTATTAATTTATTACAATATAATATTACTACTTTATACCAATTGTGGGTCTTACCTTGTCTGTTAATACCTTTTATATATTCAAATTTATTCATTTTGAAAACCACAGACATGTAATATTGGCATAATTACTATAATTTGTATGAACTAACTTATTTGTTTATTTTATCTTTATTAGACACCACCCTAATTGGGTTTATTTTATTGCAGCATTAGTTTAACTTTGTATCTAGACCTGAAGATGCTTTGCAAATTGTAGAAAGCGAAACCGGTCGTCTGATTGTTAAATTAAATTGATTGTGAGTAAGTCTTATTATTATTTCTTTACCTATTTGACAAATAAAATGTTCGACCGACGCATACCATAATAAATACAGTTCTGTGTCCATATCTATGTATTTATTGTCCTTTTTTTGTATCTTTATAAATTATCAGTATAAAATGGCTATTTTATGTGCGGAAAGGTAACTTTTTTAAATACTGTTATTTTGCAGCTTACTT